CGTCCTCTCTCTCTCTCTCTCTCTCTCTCTCTCTCTCTCTCTCTCTCTCCCTCCCTCCCTCTGTTTCTTTGTGTGTGTGTGTGTTGGGAGAGGGGGTAGGACTGGCTATTGCATGTAGTGAACGACACTGCAGTTGCTGGGTTTCATGTAGAAGATCTTAATGATGAAAAAAAGCGGTTATTTAGGATGAGCATCATTTATAAATCCTAAAGAGTGTGCAATGTTAGTCGGTGTAAGTAATATCTATGAAAAGAGGGGTTAACAGAGTATTAATAGGAACAGGCAACCAATACCTTGGTGAATGAGCCACATGTAAAGACCAAAGAATTCTAGTGTTTGATTTTCTTCAATACTAGTGTAAAATTGTAGAGGAGTCACCGTTAGTTTATCTTTTGATTATGTGAACAAATGTAGGGCCTCATTGACATTTATTCAGATAAAAAGTTTATTTCGAACACACGTAGTGTTTTTTAACTCGTAGCCTGAGGCAAGTAACTCTGCCAAGAAGAGTATAGGGCCCAAAAGCCCTAAAAAATAAAAAAATAAAAAAATTGTTTAAAAAATATATATTTTTTAAAAGTGAAACAAAACAAAGTGCAACATAAAAAGTCCAAAAAATTAGAAAAAATTTATTTATGGTTGGAGGCATTTTTAGAAAAATACAAAAAGAGAGGAAAATATAAAAATAGGGCATATGACAAGAAAAATCCACAAATCATTGGAAAAAACATCCAAGTTACATATGTAATTTTTATACATTGATTTCTATTTTTATGTAGTTTTTACATTTTTTTATATTATTTCAAGTGGCCTGAGTTGCACCCGAGTTCTTGGCCTGGAAAGGAGCCGAGTGTGTGTAACTCAGCCGAGCCTGAGTGGTCTCTGCCAAATTTTAAACCACTGCTACTATATCTTTGCTGATGACATGGTTTCAATTATCTGCAGGGTCTTAAGGCGTTTGACCATTCAGTGGAAAATATTGCATCTGGGGCATGGCAAGCATTTGGTAATGCTTGGAAAGGGGGCTCCAGTTTGGTCCACAAGTAGGTACCCGTGATCAAGACTTAGTGTTATTGTTTTGATTTTTTACTGTGCTAGGTCAGGTTTTGGTTATTTTCGTTTCCAATAATAATGTATTTAAAATAATTTGCAGTAGAACAAAGTGCAACAAATAACTAGTTGTGGATTGGGTGTTTGGTTGGCTTCCAGGAAATGCTAGTTATTTGGCCATGGAGTGACATGGTTTTTGACCACTCTCTTATGCACTAAATTGGATTCTTTTGTAATATTTCCTTGCATTAATGCATCAATGCACTGGAGATGCTTGCTGTCTCCCTCAACCTTCTCCTCAATATACCCCTTGTTTTCTTTATCATTTTTATTCCCATAAGCCAACAACATTCTCACTTGAAATTTTATTTGGATAGTTCATTTTTCTCTCAAGCTCGATAAAGGTTTCCTTTTCTACAGACATAATCATCGTAGGCTAGGCAAAGGTTCAAAAATGGTGAGTCAACATAATCATAGAGTCGACTCGGGCCCAATGGGATAAGGGGTGATTCTCGCTGCGACTCGGGCAAGTCACTAGGTTCCACATATTCATGCTACAAAACTAAACAAGGGAGGTTTTGAGTCCTTTTTTCAAGTTTTTTTAATCAATAAGTTATCCAATGCTATTTAACTTCCAAAATCAATCTTTTAACACCCTATATTTCATCCGAAACTAGTTCATTTGGGATAATAATATCAAATCCAACGTTCAACCAATTTCCCTCTCGTTTTCTAACAAAAGACTTGAAACTTGTTCCAAATTAACCGTGTTTGAGCCCTGTATCAAAAACCTACGTGCCAGTTTTTGGATGGAAAACTAAAATAAGAGAAATCGAGATTTCAAATTTTGGGGCCTTTTTGAACGCGAATTGAAAATCTTTGATTGGTGTCTTATTCTTTCACCAAATTAATTCAAATTTGTTGCAAAATATTCCTGTCATATTGATCTACAAAAGGCCTAACAATTTCTTTGAACCAATATGAAAAATCTCGAAACTTGATTTTTCGTTGATTTTCGGCAACTTTTTTGGTTATTTTCTTTCCAAAATGCTTTTTTGATTTTGATTTAGATTTGTGCTAACTATAATATGGTTTGCAATTATTGATTTTATGTTTTTTCCATTTTGTTTTGGCCATTTTTCTCTCTTTTTTTTTGTTTTATAATATTGGCCGAGTTATATGAGCAAACTCTCTAAGTCGGCCTGGCCGACTAGGATCCGGCAAGCACCCGGTTTGGTTCCCTGAGCATGGTTTTTAAGCATTGGTTTAGGTTGAGTTTGGGAAAGCTTCCAGAATCCATTCTGGGGTGTAATGCTTGGATAGCGTTGGCAGTCAATGCTAGGTGGTTTGGGATGCGCAATTCTGTTCCATTGGTAATGTGCATTGGATTAGGGAAGGGGTCCTTCATCACTAGCTGTTGGAGGAATGGATGACAGCAATCACGCCATTGGGCAAGCAGCAGACATACCCATCCCAAATGAAGCTTTTTTCCTTTCTTCAATAAACTGTCACAATTATGGGAGACTACATGCAATGCAACTAAAGAACTGAATTCAGGCCAATGACAAAATCATGATGCTTTTGTGATCAACATTTTTTATTGTTTTTCCACTTCTTCAATTTAAAAAGTTGTTGTGCATTCCTGTTCAAATAATTTTTCATCTTTATTCTTAATAGATCATCTTGACATATTCTTTGTTAGTGGTTTTATTCATCTTATGAAACTTTATAACTCTTATATCAGATCCAGAGTTTTAAAACAGGGATCGGTGGGGTGGCTCATCCACTCACCGGTCACAATTTGGACAGGCTGGATCAGCGATCTGCCCCCCCCCCCCCCTCCCAAAAAAAAGAAGCATTATATAAAATGGAGTACATATAGTTTTAACGATTCAACAAGGAGGATTTCAGTAGTAATAGTGTGTTGCTCCTTTCCTAAGCATTGAATTTTCAATTCCTCCTACCGCTTGAGTTTTTTTTTTTGGCTTTAGCCAATGTTAATTACAAATAAAATGTCAATAAGAAAAGGCTGGAGGTACACAAACTTTAAAAAGGGGATTGCTTATTGGGGGGGTCAAACCATCAACCAGTGCTTAATAGCACATCAGCGTTAGTCGGCTAAGCGATTCAGCTTGGTTAATAGGATATTGCCTATTGTATGTTATATATTTAAAAACCAGCCAATTCAGACGAGGAATTGGTGCAGTGCTGGGTTCCCAATTTGGATCGTGCGATTCCCCATCCAAATCACAATTTTTGAACACTGGTCAGAACATTTGATCCAACATACTTTCATCTGCATGATGATATAACATTAGACTTTAAAGGTGTGAAGCTTATGTCCTATGACTATAGGAGTATATAATAGTTATCACTATGTTAAGTATGTGTAAATAAAGATCATTAGACCGCAGGTCACATGAAATTTGTATGTAATAGTTATCATTATGTTTAGTAAGTGTAATTAAAGATCATTAGACCGCAGGTTACATGAATTTTGAAAATTTGTATCTTTGTTATAAATAACTATTACTCATTTGATTTGTTTGCCAGGGCATACTTTAAAAGAGATATATCCAATTCATATGGCATGAGTATTTGGAGGTATAGGAATCTGGCTTGGGCTTGATTAGTTAGTTGTTGACTATGCAACATTATGTCCCGATTTCAATTCCTTCCTCTGAACTACCCATAGAAGAATGTTTGGAGATATAAAGTAGAACATGTTTGGAAGATGTTAAAGGAGTGGATGATGTTCCCAATGGTCAACTCCTCTCTAACCACCCCTCTCCAACCAATGAGTCTGTGGTTAGGTTGCCATCCATCAGGACATGATGAAGGATTCAGCCATTAAACTTTAACATCCAAGGACTCTACATATACCTACAATATGCAGACGACACCTTGGTCTTTTGCAATGCCGACCACAATGAAATTAGAAACCTTTTCCTGTTTCTTAGGTGTTTTGACTGTGCAACTGGCTTCAAATTCAACTTCGATAAAACCATGATGATGGGGGTCAATGTTGACTCTACCACCCTCTCGGATTTCGCCATGAGTTGGGGCTGTGGGGTAGAGACTTTGCCATCCAAATACCTCGGTCTACCACTCTGCATAGACAAACCTAAACAAAGCCTTTGGTCCCACAGTTGACAAAGTGGATCGCAGACTAGCCGGCTGGAAAGGGCGTTTTCTTTCTCTTGGAGGAAGGTTAACTTTAATCAAAGCCACTCTAGCCAATATCCCGGTTTACCAAATGTCTATTTTCCACATGCCCATAGTGGTTAGTTCTAGTATCGAACAATTAATGAGGAGATTCTTCTAGTCGGGAGATGATTCAATATAAATTCCATTTGATCGCCTGAGATAAACTTCGTCAGACCAAGAAAAGGGGAGGGCTGGGAATTAAGAATCTCAGTTCTAAAAAATACAGCGCTGCTGAGCAAATGGAGTTGGAGACTGTCTACTTTAAACAATCAGCTGTGGACCGACATCCTTAAACACAAATACCATCTCCTGAACTCTCCTTGGTTGCCGAATCTTAGACCCAATCAGAGGTCATCCGGTATTTGGAGGTCTATTTGATCAAAATTCTATGCCTTCAAGTCTTGCATCAGATTTCATCTGAGAGAAGGAAACCGTACCCTTTTTTGGTACGACCTTTGGCGGGGTCGTACGCCTCTTAGGGATAGATTCCCTGATCTTTTTTCACTGGCCAGAAATCAAGAGACTATGGTAGCTCAAGAAATGCTTTTGGCATGATCATTCCGCTCTTGGAATCCTACTTTCAGAAGGGCTCTCATAGACCTAGAGATTGAAAACTTTGCCATCTTGACAGCAGAACTTCAATCTTACTTCCTCTCACCCTCGGGTCTAGACCATAGTTAGCAAATCGCCGGTTATTCGGCGATTTTTTCAAAACATCGGCATTTTTTAAAAAAATCGGCTTTTTTATGTAAAACATTTTAAACGGTGACTTTTTGAAAAAGTCGGGAAAAATCGTGTAGTTTTCATAAAAACGTTTAAAAAGCGTTTTTTCATAATGCTATTTATATCAGGCCAAAAAATCGTATCTTTTTTTACCCTTACCAATAAATTTTTTTTTAAAGATATATATATATATATATATATATATATATATATATATATNTTCTTCTTTATATACTAGCTATGTACTACTCGTATATAGTACTTAAGTAAAAAATTAAATTTAAAAACTAAAAA